AAAACGACAGCTAAGCATATGCATTTATTACCGGACACTCGTGTGAAACCAAGTGACGGTTTTGTCTCTTCCGATTTCTGTATATCTGTCCCTTTTTTCAATCTAGTCATAATAGAACAGACAGCTGATAATTATTTATGGTAATAATAATCGTTCAGCTGTAACACCCTTCCGGTGCCCAGCTGCCGTGCCACCCGAAGAAAGCACCAGGGCTGACATGCTGCCGGGGTGTCGAAGTGTAGACAGACCCAGTCAAAATGCAGAGGTTTGGCTCTACTCAAGAACCTTTCGGTCAACGCATTCTCACCCTTACCAGTGAGCTCTCTCGAGCTCAATATTTCGAGTACTGTCCCAACTGAAACACAAGTTGGTCTTCGTGCAGCACATTCAGTTGAGGGGTATCACAACCGAGAGATTTAGTTGAGTTCCCTTGTTAGCACCAACTTAATTTGTTTGAGTGTACTTAGCTTTTGTTCTGTCCGGTGCTTCTCTTTCCACTGGCGAATGGCTAGCCTCACGCAAAAAAGTATATGCTAGTCCTTTTGCCTCCGTTACTGTAAAACTGCCTGATTCGGTGCTCCGGGATCGGACGACGATTGTCATTTTAGATTAATACTCGTACTCATTTGATCTTCTGTTTCACTCCACAGTAGAGGGGCGAGATGGCCCAAGTGGTTAGAGCGCGAATTTACTGACCGGAAGGTCCGTGGTCCGAACCCGACCTCTGCCACTCGACTTCCCCTGTCTAGGCTTGGGCGAGCTGACAGTATCCCAGCCCTCGTGCTTCCTTCGGCTGGCATGGCAGCCAGGCACCGGAAGGGTGCTACAGCTGAACACTTTTTAAATAACCCTGTCATTCCAGCACTGTAAACAAAACATGAGGCCGTACGACTGTCCATTGACTACGCCGACACTTTATGTGGCGTTTTCGCAGGACATTTACTGCAGCTTTTCAATGAAGTTGGTTTACGGAGTCTGTTTGGACTATTAAAGGACTACTTTACAAACCTCACGCACTTTACAAGACTGAACGCTTCTCTTCTTCATTGCCTACTAACAGCGATGTCCTACTTTTCCATTTTTCCTCCATTCGTACGTCCAGGAAAGATAAACCCCCAATTTTCCCATCCACTTGAAAAAAAAGTTCGTGACATTGTGATGGGCTGCAGCTATCGTGTAACTGGAGCATAAGTGTGCTGACAACCTTAACGGGATGACTTTTTTGTAGTTTCCTTAACCTGAGCACCATTTTTCCCATCTGACTAGTAGCTAACAGTCTCTCATGGCCTCCACCATTCATCTTTCCCGAGTTTCTACCGTGAAATATATGAGAATGACCTCATCAAGTAGCTCTAGTTGGTCACACACATCCCAGCTGCCCATGCTGCTTGAGATTTTCGCACTACGTTTGCCAATTGCACTGCGGCCTTGATAGGTTCAATTAATGCCTTGCGTACCACCTTTTAAGTGATTGTGTTGATTTAATTGTTCAGTGAAACTAATGAATTCAGTCGCATATTTTCCCGTGTGTACTTTCCATTCACAGGTTAGTCGATTGTGATACAAGCCATGTGGTCCTCAAGTTCTTGCTATCTCAGGTTCTTTTCTGTGCGAAAGGATCGTCGGTACAGACCAACAGGAGTGTGTTATTCACGACTCGTGAGCTGGGATCGATAAGTCCGTCGTCCTCACCCAAGCTTGGTGCCTCTGATGAGTCTACACTGCTTATCACCGCTGACACGGATAACAATTCGGACGCCACGCCCGGACCACGCTTTCAAACTCACTTGGTTAAATGTCGGACTACTTACGAAGTAAGCACAACTCAACAACATTGTATCTAGTTTTCGGGCGCCCGACAAGTAGTAGTTTCTGAGTAGTTTCAGTTTCCCCCAGCTTTGAAGACAAGTTCCTACCTTATATCATGGCGTAGAAATCATCTACTTGAGGACAGGACACTACTGGGTAGCCTTTCTTTTTCTCTTTTTTTTCACGGGAGATGGACTGTTTGGTCTCACCTCGGGAGGATCATCGTACACCAGAAGCTATGGTGCGTGTTGCCAATCAGAGTTTATGTGCTCTGAGTCTATCCGTGATAGTTCAATTGCCATTACTGTGGTCTTCATGCGCTTAATCGGTCCCACTGCAGCTAGTAGGTTGTCTAACGAAAATACCCCCCGTTGGAACGGATTCGAATTCGTGAACGTTCATTATCTACGTGCTTGGTGTTAGTAAGCCGGTATGGGACTTGCAGACACGATCACGTGATGGCTGTTGTTGACAGGTCACGACTCAACAGCGAACACATACACGTTTTGGCGCCGCACACAAATACTGCACCTGGGTCATGAGTGCAATGAGTAGGATTTGATGTAAAAAGGAGATGAGATGGCTCAAGTGGTTAGTGCACGAGTTTACTGACCGGGAAGTCCATGGTCCGACCTCTGCCTCTCGAATTCCCCTGTCTAGGCTTGGGTAACCTGGCAGTATCTCAGCCCTCGTGCTTCCTTCGGGTAGCATGGCAGTTAGGCACCGAAAGGGTGTAGCAGCTGAGCGGTCTAAAAAGGCCAAGCTTACGAGGGTGATTCCACAGATAATCGACTTCCAGGGACGTTTTTGTAGAAACGGGTGCGCAACCGGCGAATGATACAGTACACTAAGTTGATCCGCTCATCGGTTTCTGTTGACCGTTTTTCTTTCAATTGCACTGGTTCGTTCCATTTATCCGTCCATTTATAGTGCTCACCACCCATTCAATGGTTCCAAGTTTTCACGAGTAGTCATTGGTTTGAATTTCATGTCTTCCACACTTCGAACACAGACTACTGCTTTCTGGTCCGATCTGTACTTCATACGCGTCTTCGTTCCATGTGCACGTGTCTATTCGTCATTCAGTTGATGAATAACCCAAGCGGTCACGTGTCTGCTTCAGTGACACGGTTTGGTCCACTAGTCTGACATCTATTAAATAAAACTTTGGGCTAATTTCGTAGTTTCGGTTTAGCTGCATCACTCATACAAGTTCATTCGGTGGTCTTGAATCTTTTCAGTTGCCTTGGTAGCAAACCGCATTCTCGGCAGTGTTGTCGTTATTGTAGTGTTGCGCATGACCGCATGTACGTGCCTATACTTCATCCAATTTGTCCACAGTCCAGGCCAGCTGATCGTATTTTTCCAAGAGTCTCATTTGGGCATATTCATATCAAGCTGTGGGGAATGATGGAAAGTCTGATTTCTCCGGTTGCAGATGGTTCAGTTTGTGGAATGGGACGTCCTTATTAATAGGCGGTATAGATTTCATATCCAGTTGCTCCATCAAGCTCGCGTGGGCAATTTAGACCTTCATCGAATTGGCCAACGTGAATGTTTGCCTCCAGCTGCCAAAACTCAACTTTCGTGGTCGAAAAAAGTAACGTCACTGATGTCACTAATGTGATCTCTATTCTGAAGTCCGAATATTTTACTTTGCACGTGACATTCGGTCTTTCTGAATGGTTGTCTCGACACTCGCTACCGGGGTCCACACTCTTGCTTTTCCATCGCCTCCCACTCTATCATGTCAGGTCCTTTTAATCTTTAAATTCGCCTCGCAGTTTAGACGTTTTGGCACAGATACGAGCAGCGCTCAACGCATGTCCTCACACGATACCTTTTACGAACATGTTTTTGGTTCGAAACGGCCAAATAGTGATCGATTTTTGTGTTGTTTTTCTATTCTTTTTTACATGCATATCAACCATGCACTGTGCGCACAAACATCATGTGGAGCACGCATGCATGGAATGTTCGCTTTGCGTGATCAACCAAGAACAACAATTGGTTGAGGGTTATGGAATCCGCGGTATTTGTCGTGTAGTCTGACTCTTGAATGGCCGGTTAACCATTGGCCTCTGGCAACCACGTCACGCGACTAATCTGGCCTCATTAGTAAGTCAGGCCAAAACACATGCTGCGCTGTTCTCGTGGACTGGTCACTTTCTGTCCTGGGAGCTTATAGTACCCGAAGGAAGCACGAGGACTGAGATACTGTCAGGTTACCCAAGGCTAGAAAATAGCAGTCGAGATGCTGAGGTTGGGTTCGAACCTCGGGCTTCCGGTCAGCAATTTCTTGCCTTCTCCACTGAGCTACATGGGTAAGAAAAATTGAAGGATTCTGTGTATCTTGAATTTGTTGGTCCGGCCAAAGTTTACAGATCGCAAAAGCAAGGTCTTTACTCACCTAACTCTGTGCTACAGCAGAAAGATAAGTTTCACGTCGTACGAGGCTCAGAATTGAAGTCCATGCACGTAGGCCACCGACCGTTGATTTGTAAATGGAGGCGGGCCGAAAGTTCGCGTGGTGTACTACTTGGCTTTATATTCGCTACAAACTTGCTGCTGTTTTATTATGGCAGAAAACGTGTATAGTTTTGGCTACGTACGGAGGCAGACCTAAAATAAGCTTCAATTGGTCACCTCAGTCCTAGCTATCATGAGTTTTGTTGTTGTCCCAACTAGCCACAGTTTTCCAAGTTGTAGTAAGAAACGGAGCTGGTATAGTGTGGAATGAAATATAGCCTCGAACATCGTCTAGCATCGATCTTCCGAACACTACTGGCTTGTGTATTTGCAAAAGATGGTCAACTTGTTCGTAGAGGTTAATTGATGAGTCTCAACTGATTCAACTGAATATTTGTCTCTGCAACGATAATCCTTCTTAGGTTTTCAGCTCCTAGACATTCTTCCTAACACATTGTTTAATAGAACCAGAGAACGTCCTCTTGACACTATCCACTACACCCAGCTCTGATGTGAGCAAAACATAAGTTGATGGGCGCTAATGCTTTCGCAAGCTATTCATCCGATCAATACTTATCGGCTGTTTTCGTAAAGGAAAAAGTGGGGACAAAAATAAAGTCAAAGCGAAGTATGTGAGTAGAAGCGTGGAAACTTTTGACAGCACGATCGATTGGTTTGTATGGCCGGAGCGTGGGTGTCTCAATCCTAGTGTGGATCGCCTCCTAAGCTGACCGACTCGGGTTGCACGGACGAATGGTGGTTCCCCGAGCTTCGTCCACACACCAATGGTCTGTTTCTCCGGAACTAGGTTGATATAACAAGCAGATACTCAGACCAACATGTACTTCGTCTTACCTGTACGCTGCGGTTGGTTAAGTCCCAAGGTTAGACGGTGCAGTTTAGCAGCTAGAAGAGGTGACAGTAGAAGTGGGCTCACTGTATTCGGTGCTTGAATGGTAAATAAAGATGACTGTGAAGCTCAATAATTTTGGCGAGTTAGCTTCACCTCAAAGTAGGCAAGGGAATTGGCCGGTAATCTTTTGACCACCGATGTTCTGATTGTGACGCTGTTACCCGATTGCGTCAGTGAATTCGAAACAAGATAGCTAGAAAACCAGTGTCCAGTTTTTTCAGAGGGCACTTTATTCACGGTAAACGCATTAATTTCGTGAAATCCATTCATTTGCACACTTATTTTTTAGGTTTAACGGGACACTCGTTGAATCACAGCTTAAGGGCTGTTTACCGATGCTTTGGAACTGAATTGGGGGCGAGATGGACCAAATGGTTAGAGCGCGAATTTACTGACCGGAACGTTCGTGGTTCGAATTCAGCTTCCGCCTCTCATCATCATCATCATCATTGTCAGCTGTAATAACCGCGTACTCGTCGTACAGTGGTTGTAGCTGCCGTAGTTTCGTTCACCGTTGATTTGGGGGGGAGGGGTAGGTAGCTGCGCATTGCAGGCGGAGCTGATAAATTGGTGCATAAATCCAGCACTGTCAGTGGGCTGTCAAGTGAAGGGGGAGTTGGAAAAGGAGCTATGCATTGAAGGCAATAGCTTGGATGCACGAGCGCCATTGAGCGCGCGACTGGGCCATATTTGACAGTGTATCTGGCCATTGATGTGGCCTGTCTCTGGGTCCCCATCCAGGAAGACGGCAATGGTCAGCCCAGCTGAGTTTGCTGGTAATGGCTTTCATACTTCGCTGCCAAGTCATTGTTTGACCGCCTCTGGCTCCCACAAGATGAGGCCAATTTTTCAAAGAATTTCACACTCTTCTCCCATATCACCTACTACTCACTTAGTAGTGGTGTCATTCTGAAGGATGCACGCGAAACAAGACTCACCTCGATAGACGATGATTCGGCAAGCATAGTGCAGGTCATCGCAGTTGGCGAAACCGGTCATGGATTGTCAAAGGGCTTTCAGAAATCCTTTGAGTAGTGTGTTCATTCTCGAACATCGTGCAGACTGAAATATGAGGCTGTCATGCAACAGATTCAGTTCTAGAAAAAACATTACTAAACCATTCAGCTGTAGCACCTTTTCGGTGACTAGCTGCCATGCCACCGGAAGAAGCACGAGGGCTGGGATACTGCCAGGTTGCTCAAACCTAGACAGGGGAAGTCGAGAGGCAGAGGATGTCCTCTGCCAGTATCAGTTTTGCACCTGCTTTATTTTTTTCAGATGTGAAGCAACCTATGATACAGTTATAGCTTTTCAGACAGACCACTTGAAAAATGGTTCAATTAAGAGAGAAAAAAGAAAGTAGAGAGAGACTGAAATAAAGCATTCTTTGTAGAAATGGGTTTGCTGCTACTCTGCATCTTATCCCTCTGGATTGGGATGTCCTGTGTAGCACACAATTCCGGGAACACACTATTGGCCGTTTACCTAGATATTGTTTGCTGGGCTTCTTTTATGTTCTGCTGATTGATTTTGCGCCCGGGTTCCTGCGGCTGCAGTTTCGTTCACTGAAAAATTGCCGACTGGGGAACGAATACTTCCTCTCAGGGTCTGTCGAAATTTCCGTTACTGTATGAGGAGACATCATCAGTCTGTGTGTTCAATCGCACGCTAACGACAGGTTCATTAGGTTAACGACGTACTGTCACAAGTTCATGGACACTAATGAGTTGCACAGGAGTGCTCACGCTTTTATTTAAGTTGGTCAAACCACCGGTAGGTTTTCTTCTCTGCCCAGGTAGAGAATCATTTTCTTGCGCGGGCCATTTTCCTTTGAGCTAGTTATTTTTAACGCGTCACCGTACCTAACGTCCACCGTCCTCCGACTGTCCCGTACCACTTCGCTCAGTCTTGATATTTTTTTTGCGAAAGACAGACGGTCCTATGGGGCGGGGGAGCCATCAGTCAAACCACACTGCTGTCCGTCTCTGAGCTGGACACGCAAGCCATCATGCTGTCTGTTTTGAACTAGTTGATGTCCATTCCGTCTCACCTTGTCCAGTGAATGTCACAGGTGAGACTATAAGCCACCGTTACAATTGTCCGGCCTATCGAGTCGACCTCTTCCCATCTCTTGCTTGCTCTGCGTATGTATTCAACACCATGAACCACAGAATTTTTCTCTTCGAGGGGTTTCTTAGTTGACTGTTACCCATAAACAGGGAATGCTGTGCCCTCGTTTCATAAAAGACCGGGAACTGCTAAGACTTTTTCTTTTAAGTGTTACTTGGGTGATTCACTTTAGTGTGGTCATTGTGACAAGTTCATCTTAGTTCTATGCTTTGTTACCATGATATCTTTCTCAGCCTGTTGTAAAGGTTATATATATGTATAATATGACAGCTGCGTGTATTTTTTGCTCACCCTTTCAGGCATCGAGACTACTGTACTTTGTCGCAGAGTTGTTGAGTCGCAAGAGTGGTAAAAGCACAAATCCACTTTCACCTGACCATGGGATTGTAAGGTGAGTTTGTCAGATGTGACTGTTTCACCAACACCATCATGGTGTTACTCGAAATCTTTTCTGTACCTTCCATGGGTTTATCAGCCTTAACCCTATAAAAGAAGTATACAAGAAGCTACTTCCATTCCTTCGGGGAGTCCACAGTTCAACTCTGCGTTGAGCAGTTTCAATCAATGGAACGTATATTACTTAGATGACCCGTCAGAACCGTAAGGTTGCTAGTAACTGATAACACAATGAAAGCCGCCGTCCGTGGGCAAGAGTTCCTCGTGAGGTAATATAGGGTAATTTATGCGTAGCTGCTCGAAAACCCAGCAGTTTTCACCGCATAAAATCAGGGACGGGAAGGCGAACGCTTCTTGTCTTTAGAATAGGCACAACCACTAACCCACCGCTACGCACAACTACGCACTGATGATGTCACCTCGATTGGTGATGAAACGTTTGCAATCGAATTGCCCAGCTCAGCGAACAAGCCAAAGACCATAGAACAGTGTTTATATAATCCAGGTTCTTTGAGCGGCGAACTACAAAGCAGAGACGGCAGAATCGTGTTGAGGCTGCCATACTATCGTAAGGTTTACTTATTTCATTGAGGCTAGAGTGAGAAAAGGAAAACACGATAGGAAAGAGTTTTGAGACAGCCTACCACAAGCATTTTTCGTCCCTTTCCCGTTTGTCGGCTTCATAGGTCCACCAAGCTTCTGTGTGTGCAAGAACACTCGGTTTCACTTGCCATCTGCTGAAGCGTCAAGTTGGGTTATGGCTGCGAACAGAACGAATCTGTCACCAGTCCTGAACTGTCACAGTTCTTTCAGAGATGAGTTAGGCTGAGTTACAATGCAAACGGAATTTCCACCGTTGAGTGGGGCTCGAAATCCCTCTCTCCGTCGACCGTGGACACCAAATAGTCCACAATGGTTATTTTAAAGGAACGGCCTGTAATCAACCCATTTCTACAGCATGTGCTCTCTGTTCCCCGCACGTATCGGTTCCGACCCAGTTGGACCTCAGTAGCTCTAAACCTACCTCTCTGAGCTTTCAGGTCACCAGCAATCATAACAATATCTGGGCTTTTTGACCGTTGTAAGTGCAGATTGAAGGTGACAGCGTTAGTGCAGGAAGGCCACTGGCTACCTGATCGATCCACGTCTACTGAAGTCTCCATCTACCGCTTCTTTCCCTTGTCCCCAGATCACTGTTGGGTATGGACGAGATGGCTCAGTGGTTGGAGCACAAATTCACTCACTGGAAGGTCCGTGGCCCGAACCAGACTTCTACCTCTCGGCTTCCCGTCTAGGCTTGGGCAACTTGGTAGTATCCCAGCCCTCGTGCCTCCTGGTTGCATGGCCGTTAGGCACCGAAACGGTTCTACAACTGAACGATTACTGTGGATCACGAGCCGGGTAGCCCTGAAACTTACGAAGCTCGTTCGATGATAATCCATAGCCACTACCATGATCCCTCAGTTGGCTGTGAGTGGGTGACTCGTCCTGAGTGAAGCATAGATGCCTGACTGACCATACTATTTTGGGTCACACACGCTTTTGCAGCGACGTCAGAACACTTGCACGATTTTTTGGTATCAGATAATGGGCTGCTAGTCATGATTAACCGGCCTTGGTGCCATTCATCTGTAATTCGTCCTTGTCACCCATCCACAAATATGGAAATTCCGATAGCTTGAAGGTAGCACCCGACTGCTTTACAATCCTCGCGGAAATGACAGTATAGCTTCAAGTTATGTCGCCTCGTAATATGAGAGAGAGCCTGCTGAATTTTTTTGGTGCCTCTCTAGGTCCTTTTGACACGGACATTACGTTGAAGTGGCACCTTTGGTGGAGGACGGCTACTTATGAAGGTACATATTGATATGGTCCCTACCTGTGCTGTCTGAGTGCATCACTTTTAGGATTTTCCGCTTGGCTAATCAAGTCGATGTAACGGAAAACTTCAACATCGGCTAACGTAACACCAGCCGATTATGTGAAGAAAATTTATTTGAAGTTCAAATTATCAATTTAAAACTGAAGAGGAACGTGGACTTGTAACTGCCAGCTTGTTCGTGAATGGCGTGAAAGCCTCTTACAGGTCACTGACAACCGTGAAGCTCTGTTACCCTTCAGAATTCGTTGGAGCACGCGAGGGCCAGGAACACGCATCAACTCTATCCGGAATCTATACTCGTGTGTAAGGTTTTATCGATGCTGGCCTCAGTTCAGATTTGTCACCAATCAGCCGAAATTACCGACTAACGGTGTGCCAAATCGTTGAACATTGTTTGCATTGAATGCCTCGGAAACTCGTTACTGCCTCTTCATTTTCATCTTGTGTATACTCTCTGCTGATCCCACAGACAGTTGAGCTAAGTATCTCAGGAAGTGCACGTAGTTTGCTCGCGAATCCTTTCACGCTACAGTGAGATCGTTGTGGTGCGCTTCAGCCCCCCCCCCC